CTAGTGTCTCCAGCCATTGATTCTTAGAGTCCCGAGGACCCCAACCCGGAAGTCTGCAACTCCCTACCTGACTCAGTTTAACTGTCAAGGATTTCATGGATTGATGAGGCCATGTTTTTGTTTGGCCACCACTTACTCTTTTCCAACCTGCACCTATATCAGCTAGTAATGCCCGTCGGGGGGAGGCGATGGTTAGGCATGGGCAACACGTGACCTAGCTATCTCAATCTGTGTAACTTTATAGTCTCGTCGATTGATTTTCCTTCTTTGCCCGACACTCTACGCCTGATGTCAACATTACTTACCTTATTATACCACCTAACGTGAGAAAGAGTTCGTAGACATCTATGATCAAAAATATGTCCATTTCACAATGGTCTTATCATTCTGTCGATCTAGCAGTCATAAATTCAAGATATATATATATATATAATTTTGACTAATTTCATCTAGTTTTGATAATTAGAATTCAGTTATTACGACCTAGGGTTCTAGTGGGAAGCCGTGACCAGTAGGGTACAGCAGGTTGAAGATGAGCCAGTAACTCTTCGAAGAAGACATTGCGAAATGGTCGCGCTATGTCGTGAATTGGAATTCATGGGCCATAGAATCGGGCCGCAGTAGCTCAGTGGTCTACGAGCTCGCTGGTCTTGTAACCAGAAGGTCCTGCGTTCGAACCCTAGAGGTGGGTGCGCGCTGATGAAGAGTCCAAACCAGGACGAAACAGCTGTCCAGTACTCTCAGTGGTTCTCTAATTGATGTCAGCTTATGATGAAATCCTCCAACCAATCACACTAAATCCCTACAAAACCAATACGAATTCCTAAACCTAAGTTTCTGGTGCGCGTCAAGAGTTCAATGTCATGAGTTTACATCTTCATTTACGAACACTGCAGTGAATTATATTACCTAAAGTTTTGTAATAACTCAGATATATTTTGATGTGTCACGAAGTTGATTCATTTCTGTTTCTTCATTGAATTCATCTATTGTATTATGCGGATTCCGTAACAGATTTTTACCTGAGAGTGTTTAAACACAAACAAAACACGGAATATACACATTGGGTCATAGGAGTTATTAAAAAGACAATTGCAGCGAAGAAAATTTTCTTTTCGACGAAGTCATCATCTAGGCTGTACATTCGTGTATTTATATCAAATGGATGGGAAAGTTCAAGAATAATTTCCGGTTAAGGGTCAAATTAATAAAAATTACAATTAGGAATTAGAATGCCATAATAAAACTCAAACAAAGTAGCATTATAATAACTAAGAAGATTGACACTGTGCAATTGGGGGTTAGAAATGTAGAAATAACAAAATATACAGGATGTTTGGATAAAAAACTAATATGATGAATAATTGTTTATGTCCCTTAACCGGAAATTATTCTGGAACTTTCCCATCCATTTGATATAAATACACGAATGTACAGCCTAGATGATGACTTCATCGAAAAGAAAATTTTCTTCGCTGCAATTGTCTTTTTAATAACAAACAAAACAAATTTGAATTAAATCAAACTCAGGTTTTATTTTTCTTACTTACAAAGTACAATGAATTTATCGGTTCCAGAGTTACTATTCTCTACGTTATCAGTTTTCCGAATACAGAACCTTTTCATGCTATGCAATAAGCGAAATTTACATCTAAGCGTTTTTCATACCACCTGATTTCTTAAATAATCCCCATCCAGGCATTAATGATTAAAAAAGAACAAGAAAGTAGTCCAACGAAGAGACTTTTCGGCAATTTTTTCTAGCTGTACAGTCGCACTTATGGACAATTTCTCACAAAAGAGGATATTAACAAAAGTAACGAGTTATCATGATCATTGTTTTTAATATTAATCAATAATTGCAGGAAAGTAGCAGTGACTCTACAAGCACATTGACACCACTGACCATTCTACTTCAATAAACTGCCCCTACGAAATGAAGAACAACCTGCCGAAGACCATATGTTTTCCCTCCCGCAGCGTTGTTGAAGCCGTAGTCATTCAGATAAAAAAAACTGCAACTCCGCATACAAATAAAAACTGTTCAACCACTTCGACGATGAGGATTAAGCCGAGTACTCCTGTTTTTGTTTGTTCATTAACCATCTGAGTACAGTTTGAACCGTCGACCCATTGCATATAAGTCGCGCGCTTTGGTCCAATAAATGCTACATTTGCTAAAAGGCTTGAAGTATAAATCATATTTGCTAAAACTTATAGCATTTCTAAGGTTGTATTATTTCTTTGTTTTGTTTTTTTCAAATGTATTTCAGGGGAGGATATATTCTTCATCCTCAGTCGATAGAATTTTGGCAAGGTCAAACAAACAGACTACATGATCGTATTCGATTTCGTCGTGTTGATCAAATGACAGATGAAAATCCCTCAGAACTCACCTATCAAGCAGATAATGGCTGGGTGTATGAGCGTCTAGCACCGTGATAATCTTTCTTTGTACAAACTTAATTGTGTAGTGAATTTTGTAATGCAATCGATACACTAATCACTTAGTTTTTAGTTGTTTTTTTTTTAAAAAAAAGCAATGGGTTTCAGCTTTTGGGGGAAACATTATCATCCACTGAAATGTGAGTTATACCCAACTAAGATGAAACGTACTACAGGAGTTCACCTCCAGCCACCATTTAACGAATAATGTTAGTCAATTTTTTATCTTACAAACGAGTGCAACATTAACCACCGGAATTCTGTTCAACCAGCACGTTGAAGGTAGTTGACCACTCAATCAACGGGAAATGTTACTTTTCCAGATGGTACCTACTCTGCCACGTTTTAATCTCATTGACTAGTTTTTGTACATAACCATAAAGCCCAGCAATGAAACACAATGGTGTATTGAGTGTTTATTTCGCAGATTACTAATCATTGTTAGTACTAGAGAAAACTACATTTGAGAATTTCTCCAAAGTAACACGTAAAACAATCCAAATTTACTCTAAGGCTATACTGACTCATCATAAGCTAAATACATATCACTGGGTGAATTTATAGGTCAAACAACTATTTTTGGTGCGATCCTTTTACTTGTTAGTTATAAGAATTAAACCTTCTATGGAGAATGAAACATATCAACCTGTAGGACTATGTCCTTGCACATTAAAACGTCTATTACGAGTTTGAATTATGGCATAAGTGTATGGTTAAATGAAGAATTGGAAAAGTATCCTAGCAAATACCTATTGAGCTACCTTCTTTCTCTACACAATCTCTGTCTTTTCAAGATAGTTTTGTGGTGAGAGCTGTCTGCTAGCAAAAATTGGTAGACAGCAATTTACGTCCCAAATATTGGTCATGAGGAAAAAAACAAGAACAAAGCCTAACCTTGAGGAACTCAACAACCTATTACAGCAGACTTAGCGTGGGCGGATACGACTAGCAGGTAAACCAACAGACTATCTACGAAACGGCCACAAAGAGATGACAGAATAACCTTCAGCAGGAAAACAACCAATCAGAAGACGTTACCTCTCTGCTAAAAATAACGAATAATAATGTACATAAAAATCTATATCTGTTGATTTTCTCAATAAAAGATCTGTTGCCTGGCCCTTGTTTCTATCGTTACAGTTTTACTTCTGCTGTCGCCTACGGAAATCTTGTGAATGTCACCGATAGCTAAGTTAACGAATAGTGATGAGGTGAAAATAGATTCCACTGATTTCAAATAATATTTTCCTGATATGTTCATTTTTCATGGACATAATTTTATGGATGATAAAACTAAGCAAAAATACACAAAAGTCAATATACATAACTCCAACATCGAAAATATTGTTTTCTGAAGTTGTTAAAGATGACAAACGTTCTTCTCACGTCGTTAGATCGAATTAATTAGTACAGTTTATGACAGATACATCTGCTATTCTCTTCTCATGTGTATAGTGACCATTAAGTATTGCGTAAATGTTGAGTGACATTTCATATTGGATACTATATGTAAAGTAATTTCATTCTGTATCCAATGAAGAGCTGAACTGGTTAATGAATTAAGTGTTTTCCACAATTGCACTAACGTTTGACATAACAGAAATGCAACTGATGGCTATCTACACTTTTAGTCTAAATTAATTCCATACCCATATCTAGCTGCGATATTAGAATAAGTCAATTGATTTTATCCTATTTGGGATTCCGATTTTGATCGATCACTGACAATATCTGAGTAATAAAATAAAAACATGGACAAAAGGAATGACATTTTTGTATCCTTAACTGATAATAACGCTAAGGTCTATCCGCTAATCACGACAACACAACTGCATCTTTACTATTATGAAATTATAACATGTCAGCAAATGGCATATACTGCTTTGCAAAATTGATTTCATTTCTAGAAATACTCCTATGGAAGCTCATTAAGTGTTGAGCATTAAGTAATTTCTCTACATGGCAACACAACGATATCCCATCCCATCTCAAAGCGAAATCCTGATTCCTAGCTGTGTGTGTGTGAAATTTCAGAACAACCTTTCCCTCTAGTAGGTGCAAGAAGTGAGTGTTTGATTTCCCCAATAATGTAGTTAAAATTAATTAGAATAACACTGAACCTTCAGTCTGGTTCATCATTCTGTTAAGTAATTATTGCTGCCTCCTTGAAATTTAGAGGCCTCAAAATATTGGTTTTCATCAAAAATATATTTCTTCGGATTAATCTTTTAGTTTTAATCGACTAAAGATGTTGATTAAATCTTATTATTTCCACTTGCGCACTTCTAAACAACATTTCAATTTATCACTGTTCCTGCTCTCCATAAATCTGAGAGAAAATATCATCATAGCGGACGGCAACAAACAATGCAGCGTAGAAACATGAAAAATCAAATAACTGTCCCCGGAATTAGTAAGCACTACATTCAGATTACGTAGTCTGTTTCTTTTCAATTTATTTCTGAAAGGAGTGAAATATTATTATTACTGTCGTCTTATCATCACAAACAGTTATTAGTAAACAAAGAAAGCACATTGTTTTCAATCATGAAGTCTGTTTTCATTTCCCCCCACTCCACGTCAAAAATGTATGTCAAATATGCAAAACAGTAGAGAAGCAAGACGAATAAAGAAATAAGTAATAAATGCTCATAAGGAATCAAAATAGAAATCAGTTAATCAGCATGACAACTATAAAACCGACAAGTATGAATGAATAAATAAATGCAATCGTTCAAATAATGACTAAGTAAAGAGTTCAATTATCTATAAAATGCATCCTTTTAAATTCATAACAAATAACCACATATCACATTCTGAAGTTATTCAATTAATTTTGCTAAACACTGAACCACTAGTTGAACAGCTTTTTGTCTGGCTATACTTCTTGTAAAATCTGAAGCCTTCACTGATATATAACCATCACTCATTTGTGAATAATTCAGAGTGGTAATATAATTTGTGGGATTTATACCAACTAATAGGATAACTGTGTATTCGAATTGTCTTAAATCAATTTCTTTTTGTTTCTATACAGTAAGGTAAATAGGAAATAATGATGAGATAATGGATATACAATTGTTAAAAGATGAAATATAAACTCATCAGTATGCATGTTAACAAAGAATGATCCCTACCGATAAGGAAGTGCGTTATACTAAAATACATGGAGAATCAGTAATAGTCACATAATCAATCAATCAATCCATGTTCAACAATTACTATCAACAGGAGAAATTTGAACGAAGTCATCACTCTCAGTTATCTAGGCAGTATCCTTTCAACTACAGACTGTACGAATGAAGATTTTGGTGCTACCCAGAGTAACGAAAGTTAAACAGACGTCTGTCAGTCTGAAACTAGCAGGGAGACCTACTGTACTATGCAGAACGAACCAGATTCGAGTTTTTAACACACGTGAAGCCAGTGCCTCTACATAATCCAGACACTTGGTGCGTCACAAAGGGCATTTCGAAAACAGTCTGCAAACTTTCATCGACTGATGCCTTGACTCGATACTGAAGATCAGTTAGCCAAAAGAAGATTCCGGCAGCGAACCAACCACGAACCGATTGTTCAGCAAATATGCTAAAGGAAATGATGATGAATTGGACATATGCTAGTGAGACCGTTGAGTAACATCATTCGCCAGATGGGAAACAACGAGTTGGGTGTACAAGGGCGATATGGAGGAGATCATGTGACGAGAAAATGAAGGCTTACGAGAAATCGTGGAGCCAGCTACTCTAAACTACAAAGAACAGGACTAAATGAAGATGTTCCACTTGGAACCCAACGGAGTAATAAATAATGAATGCGACAAAGGAAATCCTAGTGGTACCATGATTAGTCATTTGTGTGATTAGATGATGCACGTCCATTAGTCTGATGTAAATCAACGTGTGATTTTATGAACGTTATATTCTTTTCAGAATAGAGAGTTGAGATTCTTTATATGAGGCAAATAGGCTGACTGACTATTAGTCTGTCGAGTTATTCAATTTTTAAAATAGTAGAACACAATCCCATTTTTTAATATACAATTTTTTGTTTTTGCGAATGAATTAAAACGACATTGTATTGCTGAAGTATAGCTAGTAGATTTATGGAAGTAATATTAAACCACAATATACAAAATCTCATTGATAAATACCAAATTATGAATATAATATATCCAATGCCCAAACTATTAAATTGGGACCTATACACAGTTATATTTCTTTTTACCACACCATGGTCGCATAACAGAATCACAGCATATACTGTGACTGAATTTCCCTGTCAAACAGCGTGATAAAACGGCGATAAAGTAAACTAAAGTCTGAATTGTAATTGCAAAGCAAGAATCCTTTTGTGTACTGTTGAGGACCTTGTGTGATTGCACAGATATATCAGTGAATTTGTCAAAATCGCGAATTGATAGAGGCTAAAATCCATGGGTCATAAGATTCAGTCCCAGTGGCTGAATGGTCAACGAGCTCGCGTCTGAGCGTCCTGGGTGCAGACTGATGGGGAGTCCCGATCTAGAACGAAGCAACTGTCCCAGTGCATTCTGGTTTTCAACAGTTCTCTAACTAATATAAATCCAGGACTCAAAGTGAAAATTAATGACAGCATCACAAATGAGTCGTAGTTACAACGCAGAAAGGAATTTGTTGAGAATGATGTGTTTCAGAACTCTAGTATTGTTGTAGGTATACTTATGGACATGAAGAAATCAGAATTAAATGTGCAATTTTTGTTTCTAGCTTGACCTCAGGTAGTCACATTTAACTTCAACTTTTTCAATCTTCACACTTTTGTATCTTATTGGGAACAGAACATTGTACTTATTCTTTTATTTATGTTTTGATCACGTATAGCTTAAAACCTATTTTCATGTTTTCAGTAACTTTACACTCAAACCTGTCAACATCTTCGACATCTTTATATCATATTTAGAATTATAATCCTCATAAGTTTATCCTTGTTACAAGGGTTAATATAATCACGCTGGTAACTAGTCGATATCATGAAACAATGCGTTTAAAATTTGGAATACTTTCTGACAAGCATGCAATCAGTACTTTGGAAACCACTGTTATCATAGTGTAATAGAATAGTATAAAAAGATAGTATCACAACTGCAGGATGACATACCTTGTGTCCAGTGTAAAATGTAGGCGGATAATCGATGAAATGACAAGGCACTGAAAGACGCTTGCACAAAAGGACCAACTGGTCAACCAAACTAACATTTGTTCTTTCAAGTAATTCTTTTTTTGTATTCATTGATAGTGAAGGATTAGAAACATGTTCCTTCAAACAATAGGCAGTGACACGAGCTAAAAGCTGCAGTCTTATATTCGTTTTTATATGTGTACAGCTGAGGGAAACATTAGGGAATGCACTATCAGACAAGCAATCTGATTTCCGATGCCAGTGGCTTCCAGACAGGTCGTTTTCTGAATTGCTTTGAGAACAGGATCTAAGACTGCACTTCAGCTTTTTAGAGTCTACAGGAACAGAAAAAGTATCTTAGCACATTGTGTCTCGCTATATCATAAAAAAGTTCTCATCTAAAATAGTTATTATCACCTTGAAAACTCCTCAAAGCAAACCTATAATTTGGACAGGATAAAGCATATCCATTTCATTTCGCTGTCAGTAACTGCCCACAACCTGGAATGGTGAACTAATTTGCTTAAGTCAATCAGTTAAAATCTGTCTATATGAGCATACAGGTTTTAGTAATAAGTGATGGAACGTAACAAGAATGAATAATTGACACTTAGGCTGAGTAAAATGCAATCAAATAAAATTTTAAAAAATCCTAACAAATTTTTTAATAGGTATTATAACAAAATTAAGTGTTTTGTGAGGGAAAACTATTAGAAAGCATCTCAATATTTTCTTGAAAGAAATGGGGTAGGTGTAAGGACAAAAACATAGTCTGTGGCTGGTTTAAGTCATATCTTTGACTCACAGGTTTTTTGTTTGTTAGTACTAACTGCAGGTCTCTGGCTGACAAAGTGAACTGTCTCCAGTCTCTAATTTGATCAAATGTGTATCGAAATGCTGGTGTTTTGGCTGTACAAGAGACTTGGCTCCACCAGAAATATGACAACAATCCAATTTCATTAAATGGTTACGAAATTTCCCACCAGGACAGATATAGTTCAAAGAAAAAACATGACTGAGGGGTACCCACTTTTATTAATGCAAAATGGTCTACATCTAATCATGTATGTTTTCATTTTTCCAATGACAATATAGGCTGTATTGCTGTTAGGTATCGGCCAAAGCATTTAAGCAAATATTCCTATATATACATAACAAATGTTTACATGACTCCGGACTGTAATTCCTCTGATACATCTATCTTCGCAGACGAATTTACTGAATTCTCTGCTCCTATTTTTGGAAATTTCTTGTCAATAGTCTGTGGGGACTTTAATTCTTGCTGTCACAGCTTCCTTATATCACTCGGTCCTGAGGACCTGGTCAAATTCAATACTCGTCTGGCCAAAACCCTAGACTCGGTTTTCATAAACGACAGTGGCATATACGAGGTGTGAAGGAGAGATCCATTGTTGAATTCTAACAAGTGGATTATACGCATTTTACCGGAAGTGTATGGCAAATTATACAGAAGGGCTTTTGTTCACCTAACAAAGAAAATCGAAGAAGGATCCTACTCACATGACAATATTCAAGCACTAAGATGTATCTTGTATGATACTGACTGGGACCTATTCTCTTTGATGAAGTATCAGACGTTACTATCTCTAATATCACCTACTATCTCCAGTTCTGTTTGGACATTTGCTGTCCTACTGAAACTCTGTTCAGGAGATTCCATAAGATTTCTTCTCCACAACTAAAAACGCTTAGAAGAGAAACTGTACAAATCACATGATAATGCAGTTGTTCGAACAATTAACTCTGTGACAAAGTCTGAAATACAAGGACTGAGTGTGATATATAATCAACTAACAAGCAGAAAACAAATTTCAGTTGATGCTTATCCTGATGTAAATGCCTTAAATAGGTCTTTTATAACGCAACTAGCTAATAAGACTGGAACTGATGTTTCTACTCAAGTAAATGATTAATTTCCTGCTTTTAATGAAAAGAATGTATTTTCATGTCTTAAATCCTTAAGTCCATCTTACACAGCCTAGGACTAGATGGTGAACTAAGCATTTTGCTTAAAAAGTGTGCTGACAGTTTGTGTTATCCTCATACCCAAATCTTCAATGCATCGTTTCACAGGGATACAGTACCTGTTGCCTGGAAAGAAATAAAGGTGGTGCCTGTACCAAAGTCATCTTCTAGATCAGGTCTAAAGTTTAGGCCAATCGCCATCACGTTTCCATTTTTGAAAAATAAGGAGATGCTGTAGTTGTATTCCGCCACAATATTGTTTCAAGTCTTGATAAAGGTGCAAAGTTTGTTCGAGCCTCCTTTTCAGACTGCACTGCTGCTTTTGACTATATTCCTAGAGCGCTTTTACTGAGCAAGCTGATTTCAGCAAACACTGAATCCTGAGTCACAAGGTGGCTGTCTTCTTATTTTTGGGTGGAAAGCGCTCTACTTTTCTGTTAACGGAAACTGGTGTGCCTTAAGGCACTGTACTATCTCCATTCCTTTTTTCTTTCTTTTTGCACAAGCCTCCGTATTCTTCCAAAGCTACCTTCGTTGAATATGCCGATGATCTTACCATTTCTGTCCCAGTAGTTCGTGCGCTGGATTGTTCTTATTTGGAATAGGTTCTTATCTGAAGTTAACAAATGATCTCACTTAAATGGTCTTAGTCAGAATCCATCTAAATGTCATATTGTTGATTTTGGTTTCAGATGCAAAAAAGACTTGCGTGGAGTGATTTAATCGCATGATTCCTGTAATATTGACGGCACTATGCTGACAGTGAGTAAAGCGAATATCTCTCATCTCTGTATCAGTTTCTCTTCGAATCTCTTTTGGTCGTCTCATATCCTGTTGATATCTGAGAAAACTTTTCGTTTGACTTATTACATAAAGAAGTTGAGACTTTCTCGAATAGCTCAACCTCTTCTCTCACAATTTATTAATTCATGTATTTAACCCATTCTTCTTTATTGTTCAGCCTTATGCTTCCCTGGACTTCTCAAAAAAGACTATATCATATTACGTAGAACACTGAAGACTGTAAGTAGGGTTAGTGGTGTGCTTTTGACTCAACTAACTGACAGTGTTGTTGGTAGGCATTTTAATTCTTGCAAGCAGTTATCTGAAGTTATCCTGCCTGATACTGAACATCCTCTTTGTGATTCGCAACTTTTTCCTTGTATATCTTCGTGTAACACTAGAAGAAACTTTATAAGAATTTACGCTGGTGCAGCAAAATATAAAAATTCTACCATACCAAACACTAGACGGTCGCTTCCCTTGTTTGGGGTCGATTTCATCAGCGATGTACCTGGTTTAACTCAGCTAAGAAAACCGAGCCCCAAACAAGGGAAACGGCAGTCCGGTCTTTAAATCACTTCGATCTGGCCAGCAAACACTAATGGCTGATGTGAGTTGTGTACATAATCGTCACAATAAATCAGCAGTATGTAGTTTTATGCAACTGCGCTTGCTTCACTGATCACCATTTATGATATCAAGGAGACCACATATAGTAATCTGAAAAATTTCGGTTTCCACAGCAAACTTTGGTGCAATACCACCAGGGACTGAGTAAAGTGCAAATTGGGGGTCTGATGTTTCTAAGTGAGTTTGAATACCACTTTTTTTCCTACATTATTAAGAATTCTACGTAAGGTTTCAAAGGTTCCTTCTTTGTATGGAAGCACTACTGATTTTCTAAATTCCCTATTGTTGGTGTTGTCGTACTTCTGCTTATTGTTTGTCATGCATATCATCTTTATTATTATTACTTTTATTTTTATAATTTCCGACACATTTTCCGATTAATTTATTGGGGTAATTATGAAGTATTAAAGTTTCTCTTATACGAACTTCCTTCCTTAGATTTACCTTGGTACTTGACCCTATTACATAAAAATTTCACCAATCCTATTTTTACTGACATAAGATGGGGTGAACCCAGAATTCAAATATTCGGTTTGAATATGCAAGTAAATATCCAGTAAATAATACTGTTCTACTGTGTGATATATCCAATAAACGAATCGATATGAAGTAACTTCAGCAGATCATTTCAGCAAACAAATCGACCCGAGAATTAGATAAGAACAATCTCAAAGTGTTCTGTTGGTGACAGTGATTGTAAAAATCAACTTAACTTTTAGTAATAACCACAGTAAATAAGTGCATTTCTAGAGGATGCTGACAAAATGTAGAGTCTTCTGAACACCTTGAGCAGTAATCTTCGTATGTTTGGCATGCGATTCGCCCCCTGTAAAATGTAAGATGCTGCTACAGGACTGAACTACGTCTACCCCTAGCTTAGTGATAGGGAGTGAAGTGATAGAACATGTTGACCACTTCACCTATTTAGGAAGTTGTATCAGCACCAACGGATTGATTGGTGACGAAATCACAGCACGGATCCAGAAAGCTAGGGCTGCTTTCGCTAACTTACACCGTCTCTGGCGTAGGCGTGACATCCGACTGTCAACCAAGGGACGTGTATACTGCTCAGCAGTTCGCTCCGTCCTTCTCTATGGCGGTGAGACGTGGCCATTGACAGCGGAAGACATGAAGAGATTGTCTGTTTTTGACCACAGATGTTTACGATCTCTCTCTCGCGTTAGGTGGTATAATAAGGTAAGTAATGTTGACGTTAGGCGTAGAGTGTTGGGCAAAGAGGGAAAATCACTCGATGAGGCTATAAAGTTACATAGATTGAGATGGCTAGGTCACGTGCTGCGCATGCCTAACCATCGTCTCCCCCGACGGGCATTACTAGCTGATATAGGTGCAGGTTGGAAAAGAGTAAGTGGTGGCCAAACAAAAACATGGCCTCATCAATCCATGAAATCCTTGACAGTTAAACTGAGTCAGGTAGGGAGATGCAGACTTCCGGGTTGGGGCCCTCGGGACTCTAAGAATCAATGGCTGGAGACATTAGGTGACATGGCTCAAAATCGTTGTCAATGGCGTAGATGTATTCAGTCTCTGTAATCTTTCATATTCCTTTCTACCATTACTCATTCTGTTTCACTCTTATACTTGTCAAAACTCTATTGATTCTCTTCACTCATCTTCTTGTCTACCTTTGTGTGCTATTTGGAACGTGGCAACTCGAACTGCTGCACTTCGGTTCCAAGTTCTATGTTGAATCCAGCCAGCCAGCATTTCTAGACTTTTCTTATCTTCATATCTGACTGTATACAATATCTGCATCACGTCTTTACGTATTATTAAAACAAAAGGCTTTTATTATTCAGTTACATGTAAACCGAGACGTGTGTGCTCACATATCTCGCCTAGTTACTAGTTCTACTATCACACGTCGAATTGTGCAAGTTTTCTCATTCACACATGTATATTCAGAAACAATACACACTTATCAATAGATAAGAACAAACCTGTCCAATAACCAATGGTTTTATCGAAGACGCCAAAATCTTTGTAACTTTTATAGTGTTCTCTATCAGATGTTGAATTTGGCTGAAATTAGTCAACAAAAAGAGGAAAAAAATATAAACAATCAGAAAAAATCAGAACAGTAAACAAGAAATTACTGTAAGACCAAGTTATTTTATTTTTTGGATATTAAATAAGAATATATATCATATTTGGGGTTGACAAATAAGCCTGATTCAGGGTATATTTTCTACATGTTAAAATCGTTCTCAATGGCATAGATGCATTCATTCTTCGTGATCTCCTATTGTGGTGGTGTGATACGGACAATGTGTTCCAACGGAATATTATTCTTACATATTTCCACAGTTCAATTCGGCATTAGCAATGGAATACTATATAGATATTCGAACATTTTGTTTCATGTCGTTTAATGTAGACCAAAATCACACGCTCAGTGATTGGTTAAAGAATATAAACTGTATGTATATAAATAGCTGTTTAATTAATTGAAAATATACCTTGGCTTTCGTGTCTTGCCTTCTGTTGTTACACTATATCCATGTTATTATTCTATGACACATTAACATGTATCTGCGGGAGCAGTTACATTGGAAGGACAGAAAGAAGGGCATATCTACGATTTTCTGAACATGTACCAAAAAGCTTATGTCTAAAAGGAAAAATGCTTTAAACAGTGCCATCGCCAGCCATCTCCTTGGCACCACGGATCATGGGGTGAACGTCGCGAGATCGTTCAAAATTATCAATAGGCAAAAGGGCTCGATTCTCCTCAAGGTTTTGCTGAAGCCATCTCCATCAAGCGCCTGAAACCTGATTTGTGCGTTCAGAAAGAAACAGTAATCAGTATTTCTTGGTCCTGGTAACTGGATATTTTCATTTCTCTTTCATCTGAATGCGTAATGTCTAAAGTTTCCATTGTGCATGACCATTATTGTTCGGAATAGTGGTTAATATTATATATTCATTGATTGATTTTTAGTTTAAAAATGAACTCTGTGCAAGTATGTTAAAGTTGTTTCTGTAGATATATTTAATAATGACTTTGGCCTGTAAGCAGCTGATGAGGAGCCAACGAAATAAACAATGATGGTACCATTTTATTCTGCAAAAACTGTTGTTCTTGCTTTATTCAAATTTCTGTTCATTATAATTCTTCTGAAACTCTTTTTTCTCTACACCGTTGTGTGCCGCACGGATTCTGGCAACTTTAACTGCTTCACTCCTGTGAAAAGTTTTATGTTGAAGCAGACATATGTTAGTCATTAACGTGATAACAATGACGAATTAGAATGAAGTCAAAACCTTTATTATTAATTAAAGTAGACGAAATCAAAGTTGTTAGGAAAAAAATACACCAACCGACAACATATAATCAACTGTTAAATGTGATAAAGGTCATAAATAATACCAATAAATTAGTTACTACTCACCAATGAAAGACGAGATGATGTTGACGAACCATAATGGTTTTGCATGAAGTTATGCATTTCATTCATTGAAAGATTCATACTTGAATAACAACGAGAATTTTGTTTATTGTATAGTACTTTTGATTTTACACCTTTCCTGATAAAAGGAAATTTTGGAAAATAAGTGTATGTTAATTTTGTGTTTATCAAAATTTACCATATAGAAAAATACATAAAATATTGTTCATTAAAGTTATTTGGTGGATGGTGACTAGGAGTGGGAACCCGGGAAGCGCAGCATTTATATGGTATTTGGAACGATGAGTGTGGGGTTCGAGTTTCAAAGGGAACACACCATTAATCACCGGGAATTACGGTATGCCCAGCAGACAAATCCCAAGCAGGACGAAGTGCATATTCTGGATTCCACTACTACTATTCAACATCACGTTGTGAATAAATCTGGTAGTTTTATTGATCTCCAACTTGGGATTTTTAGTTTTTTTTTAGTGCTTCCTACCTCAGTTTACGTATCATCTTCAGTACTGCTCAACACATAAGTTAATTATGCCTACATTTCTTGAGTATTTCTAAGGTATTTCTCTCTGAATTGTATGATTTACTTTCTTGTTTGATCAACCGTTTTTTCCAGCTTGATTTTTAACTGTTTGTTTTTAAGCTCAAGTGTTGAGATATTATTGACTCCATTTTTGTCACTTGTACCGTGGGCTTTTCTTTTGAATACCTTTTATTGTGATGTTGCGCATTGTTATGTACGTTTGCCTCTTAACCTTTTTTAAAAACTGAATAGATTTCTTTCGCTCCTCCGACTCCATGTCTGTCTGTTTTCAATATAGAACTTTGCACCGATATACTGCAGTTCAAGTCGCCACACTCCACGTAGCATACAAAGCAAGAGAAGAAAGAAGAAATGCAAAATAGAGAAAGTAAACAGAGGTGTGAGACAAAGGTATAGTAATAACGAAGAACAAAACAGTTTCATTGGAAATCATAAGTCACAAGGAGTGGATGCATCTGCGCCAGCCATTGAGAACGATTTTGAGCCATGTCACCAATTGTTTCTAACCATTGGTTTTTTACCGTCCCGAGGACCCCAACCAGGAAGTCTACACCTTCCTACGTGGCTTAGACTAACTGTTGTGGATTTCATTGACTGGTGCCATGTTTTGGTTTGACCGCCGCTAGCTCTTTTCCAGCCTGACCCTATATCAGCTAACATTGCCGACTTGTCAACTTCGTCCCAATCAACGGGAAGTACAAAATCAACACTGAACAAATATTGTTCATAAACATGAAAGACCACTAGGCTAATGAATGAACCACTTAATTAAACTTATAATTCATCACTGGATTTATTTTATCAGTTAGTCCTTGGCTTATTTTTATGATAATGTGACTCATTGGTCTAAGCCCCAAAACTTTCCATCAATCAGTCGTATTCACTAGCCTTCATTCGAGATATGTGTCTCTTAAGTGACGAGACATCAAAAATCTGAAGAGACATTAAAAAGTTTATTTTCATCCAAAAAGTAAATTAGCACATATCTATCTTATTTTAAGTGCTAAATATGTCGCAAATGAGATGCACTGGAAGATAAGCAGAAAATACAGTAATCCATATTCTGCTTCTCTTTTTTTGACATAGTAGTGATGCAGTTCGCTGCCAACATGCGACTTCATTTGGTAGGCAGCATCCATTATCTAGATAGCTACTGAAAAGTACTCTTCAGTACTTTGCCTTAATTCAGGTTTCTCAAATAGCAAATATATATGTTCAACTACATTTTGTAACCATTACAATTCAGTGCTTTGTTGTGATCATTCGTGCACGACTTCACTCACATCCGAATTCGCTAGTCAAACAAATCACAACACCTCAAAGCACTAGACAAGTCTGTGACTTTAATATTTCAGGGGGTGTTTGTTAAATATACCTGCTAACAGTCATATAATATTGTTAGTTCAACATACAAAAGAACTTCAGCCGTTCTTATGGCTGTCCTGAAATGACCTTCGAAAGCATTTTAGCGCTCTCAAATACAAAACGGAAAGTGTAGACTATGATGTTCACTGACCCCAGCTACTAGTTTTTCCGGTAAGAATTACACCTTGTTAAATTACCATTGAATTTACCATACACCTATGTATAGATGCTGCGCGGTGGAATTCTAATAAAACTCTTTCAAAATATTCAAATAGCAATTGTGATCTATTTGGAACTCGTCAGCTGGATGTACCTGCGATTCCCCAGTGAGTGATGGTGTTCCCACTGAGACTCGAACCCAATATCTGTAGTTTTAAAAGATAAGTAGCCTAGTGAATAATACTTTGAAACTATGAGTCCTGGGTGCCAGTCTCAGATTGCAAGTACATCTAGGTGACGAGTATCGAGTACGACGAAAGGCGTATCCTGGATACCACTGTTAGCCACCATCAACCAAATAACATCAAATAGGGTACCAGTCGACAGCTGCGAATAATTTGCTGTTCAATCTATCCATATTCAATGTCGTAGGACTACTCTAAACTTGTACATATCAAAATGAAATTCGCATATGAATTCAATATTTGCACTCATTAATTGTCATCAAAAACGATAATGTAATTTATTAAAAGAAGCAAGTCCAGCCAATACTACTGCCCTGGTCGGCCTTCAGTGGAGACTATGAATTCATAAATTTGTATTACTATCTTTCCTAATTTTCGTGATATTCAGTGTATTGTTATGTTGATGCCATTGAACTGTAATCTATTGATATTACTGATTCTATGTTATTTAAACATTAATGTTGTTAATACACATAATGTAGAGATTTTAAATAGACGAAACACCAAAAGTGCCAGAGAACTTCTAGAAGCCTGGTACTCATATTAATATAGACCAAATTTACCAGCCAATAAAAAGTAAATCACGTGACAAGAAAGTTTATATTCCGAGTCAGTTAAAATAACCAATAGAGATGTAAATCAACTACCAGTCACGAAGATGTTTGCCAGGAGAAACAATAATATCAGTCATAGAGAGTTCAAATGAGTTCTTTTTATACTAAAACGTGCGCTTAAGATGTCTAGAAGGACGATAAAGGCTTCGCAATTAAATCAATCAGCTTAGAGAACACAACTAACTCAAAATTAATGTTGTTAATAACACTAATTCATTCGCTATTATGGTATATAAATAACTGTAGAACACGATGATAAAGTTATCGAAAAGAACCATTCTTTAGAAAAATTTTAATGGGCATTTTTAATCAACAAAATTACTGCTAAAAGCTATTTATATAGTTATAGAATTTAAATTGAAGAAACTGTCCTTACTTTTGCACGGGATGAGAATTTCGTCTGCCCAATGAACTGCATTTCCCTTCTTCTTCACTGAAGACAAAAGTATCACTGGTACAACTAAAATTTACATGATAATCCTAGAAAAATAAAAAAAATGCAGAGCATTGCATGTAGATACCCAAAAACTAAAGAGAGAATAAGTAGTTTCTGAAAGCTGTTTTCATTGTAAAGCAAAAATCTGGAATAGTAATGAAGACTACAACGATAATACCAACGTTTACTTATTGTAATCAAGTAGACTAGGTAAAATTTTCACTGTTTTACAAAACCAACTTTGATAATGTGAACATAGTACTTTGAGTCTACCTAAAATATATTGTTCCAAAATTGATTGCGAACCGACTTCAGATATAGAACTTCAAACATAAAACCAGGAAGTACTGGACAGCCGACTTACGTTTAACAAAGAGCCTTAGGAGACGGCTCACTGAAGACGATGTTAATCAGCCAGTGAACATAGTAACATCAGAAGCTCTGTTTTCTATGGTTGTCACATTATCAGAAACAGGCTATACCTTATTTCTTCCTTTCAAACCCTGAAGATCACTTATACTCTGTTACTCCTAAGTGGATTTGCCATCCTCAACGATCAATATATTTCAATTCTTCTTTTCAATTTGGCAGAAACAGCTATAAGCGTGTGATAGTACCTAGCCGGTAGAGACTATAAACCGTTGGCCATATGAAAGCCTTTTCAGGAGAAGACTACAGGCTTTCTCATCATCAGGTTTATCATGCCAGTAAAAACAATAAAGATAAATCCTGCATAAACCTATCTAGCCTGTAACAAAAAATTAGGAGGAGATATGCGGAATGTGATAAAAGATTTTTGGTGTTTCTTTAAGAATATCAGATCCGTATAATGCATTGATGGACATGCTTCAGTTATTACCAGTCCCTAATAAGTCCACTGTAAATATAAATAAAAATGGCGTCAAACGTAGTAACTGCATATATTAGACAAGCTCCATAAACAACGGTGTCATGGAAATGGTATAAAAGAATTAATATACCTTACCTTGCTGTGAACCATCTGATTCGGTAGACTTTCTGATCTGCCTCCGTTGTCATTGTTTTCAGTGGGGACAGGATTACCTAATTAAGTTAAGAAAAACAATTTGACTTAATTATTTGCTTAATGGTCGCCAAAAATACATAACATTTTTTAATTCCTTTGAGTTCCCTGTGGAACATAGGGCTTCGAACTAAAGCTTTGATGTTTCTATACCAGTGCTTTTATTTTTACGGGGTGAGATTGGTAGTCGCACGACCAACTTTCCCTCTTTGCCAGGCTTATCAGCGGCTAAGTGAGGTTCGGGAGTGCGTCGGCCGGGGGTTGAACCCCGGACCACCTAAATGGCTAGCGAGCACTCTACCTCTGCTCCACCGACACACACACATATACAGATAAAGCGAACTAATAAATCAAATAAATTAAGACCAAATGTAACCAAATAGATTGAAGGAACATTTATTAAATTGATTACAGAGACCTCATTTGACCGATTCACTGTAACAGTCATACTGTACTTCTGAAAATCCTATTTTGGATGGGAGCTTTGAAGTTAGAAATTATAGTAAAAATAGCAGACGACGTCGTCGTGAGGAGAACTGCAAGATACCATAGACATTGTCAAAAGTTATAATATCTTATTGATATAGGATAAAACTGACCATTTTAACACAAAAAGTAACTGTTTCACGTTAAACAGTTTAAGCCTTTATTACTAAAATCAAAAAATGAAAATAACTTGATAAATATATATGAGGCATTCCTCAAATGATATATTATAGGCAAGATGAAATAGTCATAAGTGTATATCTTAAATCAACTTCAGGAGAATTGTTAACTCAACTCTATTATGATAGTTAGAACTGACATCTTAGATAGCATGACTTTCTACGGTTAGGATTTTTCGTTAAGTCAAGCTAAGTGTTACACAAATAAATGAGTTTGGTACATTTCTTGTATATATTTAGGTGAGATTTCTTTAGAATACCCCTGTGTATTTTGTATGCAATCGAACTACTATCAAAATTAATTGCTTACCACTTTATCTTTCAATTCAACTGCATTTAATTCTACCCATTGTGATACATTCTGTACTACAATTTCATTTTTGACTTTTATCGTCTACTATGTGACGACGGCATTAATGAATTTATCACTGCAGAACTCAGAGAGGTAGACACCGAAGACAGTTGTTCACTTACATATTTTTGGTTTAGGACTATCGTTCCACAAAAACATAAAGAAAAAACAACAGTATTGCGTAGACTACGACAGAAAAACCCCGACATTCACAGAAACTGAATGCAAACAATTAACGCGAATTGTTGAGGCATAGCACGGGTGAAAATAACTACTGAACATACATTTGGCTTGTTCAGAAGAATTACGATTGCCTTTGGCCCAATTGGTTCAATCGGTAAAGCATCAGACTTCTAACTTCACGTCGTTGGCTCAGTGGTAGAATACACGTCAACCACGCACGTGGTCCGAAATCAGATTTTCGACTAATGCTTTCCGAAACCTGGACTAGCTAGTAAGCAACTTCCGTAAGTAGGGAACGGTGGGTGTGAGGCGGGCGACCCCATCCCGTAAAAAAAAATAAACACTTCTGTTACTGAAACTTCAAAGCACCAAGATTGAAATCCTGAGTTCCCCTCGGAACGCAAAGGAATAAAATAAAAAATTGATTGCTGTATGTGGAAGTCGTACTCACAGAGCAAGCGAACGACTGGGTGAGATAATAAGAATAACTTTGAAAGCTCTGTAAGTATTGACTTCATGTCCTGTATCCATGACATGTGGCAGTATTGAACTATATATGGCTTCAGTACTTCGCCAAACCGATATTGATGTTCATGTTCACTCGGAATTATAAATCATCTTGCTCATGTCATTTACCTCACTATGATACCCCAACAACCGCCTAAATTCTTATTCAGATATTTGAGTACTATAGGGATTTACATTAATTTCAATGTAAATTTCACCGTGAACCGAAATCAGTTTGAAAATCAGTGGCAAAAGTTAAAATGGTCATAGGGCTGGCATTGTAAACTGAAGGTCTTGGACCCAACCCCTGGTGGGGCCATAGGCACGCACTGATGAAGAGTCCCACACACAGAGAGAAAAAAACAGCTGTCCAGTGCTTCTTAGTTTCAATTTTCCCCTAATTGACATTGGTTAGTGACGAAATCTACACTAAAAAGTGACTACAAAAACACTGTGAGAATACTAAAGGCTTACCGTCAGATGAATTTCTCAAGATATTCTCCGCACCATCATTATCAGGGAATGGAACCTCTGCTGTTCGTAGAGCACTTTTTACCTCGGGTACTTTTTCACTAGATAATCCCAATTTTGTCAATAATGCCTCAGCAGCAAGTCGTTTAGCCAAACGTTTATTATTAGCTGCAGGACCTTGGATACATTCGTTTAAAAATTCAATCTGGTAGTTAAAATAAATATGAATACAATAATTTTTCAGTGAGAATAAGCGAAAATGAACAAGTAAACAACAATATAATAACAACAAATGCTAACACTCATGTAAATCTTCGTATCTCAAGAAGGTTTTTTTGCATTTCTCTACTCTGACTTAGCTTATAGCGTACAATACGCTTTAATATTTTCATAGTAAGGTGTGATGTAGGAATGGAAACAAGACTTACATTTTCACACTTGCTTGTTTTATAATTTGAAATAATCACTCCTAGACTCATGTTTATAGTGCGCCGATGGCATAGTGATAGAATGCTCGCCAACCACGCATGTGGTCCGTGGTTCGATCCCCGGCCACTGGAGGCATTCCCTTACCTCGCTAAACCGATGATCAGACTGGTAGAGGGAGAAAGTTTGGCATGAGGCTAACCTCATCCTGTAAAAATAAACACAACTGCTACCGAAACTTCAAGCCTATAGCTTGAAACCCTATGTTCCACTGGGAACGTAGATGAATGTAAAAAAGGCTCATGTTCATATATGTAGACACAAAACAAACAAAATTTTGTGCACAAAGATATTTTCAAAGCACTGGTCATGTGAGGTAGAACCACGAGATGTGATGTAGAGCATTTCAATAGAACGCCTTCCTTGATAAACAATCTTACCTTCAATAGCCATAGGTAAAAAAATAAACTTAGAGGGTTTAAACGAAAACATGACAATGAAGTCAGGCCGTGTAAAAAAAGGTGCACTTCGCATGACTACGACAAAAAGTTAGTGATCAAAAGAACTCAGTGCCAACCTTTGCATTCCAAATGGATGCTTTTGAAGTTTCAGTAGTCATGATTTTATTTATACGACTGGAGTTTCTAGCCTCATGCTCAATCATCCCTTTTTGCAGGCTTACTGCCGCCAGCTAGTAAACTAGGCGAGGTTCAGGAGTAAGTCAGTCAGTAATCGAAGCCGGAACACGTGCATGGCTGGTGGCCAGAGTTCTACCCCTGAACCACTGATATACGAAACCTTCAGGTAGTACAGATGCATTCACATTTTTAATCTTCCAACGCACTGTCTGATCTTCTTTTAATTGTTTACTCAACCCCTCACCGCACGCAGTTACTACTGTCTGTTGTAATAAAGTCTTATTTAAGTTCCCTTCGTACTTATTTATATACTATTTCTAACCGTGGTAACCTGAACTAAACACATCTCTGCAAGGTTTTATGTTGATTTATATAACATCTCGTATTATATATATATATATATACGTTAGTCGGCCATACCTAGTATGGAATTCCACACTGATTTTAATCTTCCACCAACTTCTTGTTTACCTTCTATGAATGAAAGATCTAAAACAATCCAGAGATGTTTACCGCCTCAGAGTAATTCAGTAGGCAGCCCTTGACAGAAAAGTCATCAGAAAGGTATGTTAAAGCATAACTTTATTAGAACTCATCATGTCCTGCATATTTAATCTTTTAGTCTAACACAGCTGTGATGTCTTTGTAATTCAAGTCTATTAAAAAGTGAATAAGGATGTGAATATTCTTGTGATTTCAATGTTCGAACCTCCAGAGAAATGCTGATCTTCTCAACACTACAGAGGTGTTGTGCGGATGGCTGCCAACAAACAAGGAAATCTGTGTGTAACACTTATCATTATTGCCTTATTATAAATCAATCACTCAGCTCGGTGATCACAATGTAAAAAATTCATTCATGGGACTGCAATCGACAATATTACTACTTCTTATCATTTGGTAACCAACTTCGGCAGGCTTCTTATTTTGAGTATGTCTCACTGATACCAACATTTTTAATGACTTCTACACTTAATTCACTGAGTTGTACATAAATTAAGTATGTGAATGTGTAGGCTAAAGTCATCTAATATATATCGGACAACAAGAAGACAGTGCGCTAGAAATCTATTGACTGTTTGTGTCTGATAAAAAACAATGGAATCACATAAATACTACGGTTAAGCACAATCAATATGTGTAATAATCAATTAGTTCTGAGAATAAAAGTCATGAAATGACAAATATATGAATACGTCTTGCTGCATACCGTCATCACATAGCAGATTTCATTTTAGAGATTATTCCAGGTATTACATAAAATCCCACTTTGTGATAATGAATAATGACTGATCTACACACAAACTGTTATACTCTGCAATACATAATTACTCTCCAGGTGTACTCAGGACAAACAATTAAAATAATTGGTTACAGGATTCATAAGTGTGTCCCCTTAAAATAAGTCGGTGGTGATTTGCTCTAAGAAAAGATTAAACTGCTTTGCAGTGCAAAGGCTAACTACAAAAATTTCACTTTTTCTCATAACGTATTACATACTACCTGCATTCGAATGCGATACGACGGCTTATTTTCTTCTAAGTTCAGCTATATTGAGTTTGTGGACAAAAGCTTTTTCTGTCAACTTTCACTTTTTCACAAGTCTTTCTTGAAAGCAAAGTTTAGAAATCAGTTAAAAAATGTGAAAGTTCTACCAGTCGATTGTTTCTGTCTTTGAAAGGATTTTGTGTAGAGAATAACTTCGGCCATTTGGTCGTTCGGTCTATTACGATAATAAACTCCCAACTTTTGTATTCTAACGTCAACAAACCTGACTGTTGGCTGTAGAAGTTAATTAGCGTTATTTTTAAAGATATTGGAAAATCCAACGGTACTCAAAGCAGTATTCTTGTTATTTTGTTTACCGCTGCATTTACAGTACCGTTTGGAAACAATCTTAATAATTTGTGTACTAAGAATATGATAATCTAATAAGAAACTTTGCTTTGATAAGGTCATCATCATACGAACATACCAAAGTAAAATTGTTCATAGATGTTAAAACTTAACATTAATTTGTAAGGATTTAATTGGTTTCGAGTTTAGTCACAGATCAATGTCAGCTAGAGAACCACTGAAAATCATGGAGTATTGAACAGCTATCCCGTCTCAGTTCGCAACTCGTTATTAGCATGCGCCCATGACTTCGTCTAGCACCAAACAGAAGTTAGAATTCATCAGCCATTGGATTGCAACTAAGTGTTTGAATGCTCGACGAGTGCCCCTAGTAACCTGAAAGTCCTGGGTTCAACCATTGGGGATGAGGTAATGGGTGCGTACTGCAGAAGAGTAACAACCTAGGACGAAATAGCCCTCCTGTACTCCATGACATCAATCCGAGATCAAACTTGAAAAAAACAGTATCATTCATTTATTTGCCTTCTTTTTCAGTCATTAATAGTTGAAAGATACTTAACCATGAAAAATATGAACTGTCAATAAAAAAAAGAAATAATCTTTCACTTGTCTGTTCAACAAACATAGTGAAAAGATTAAATATTAAAAAGGTATATAGAAATGAGATTTTAAGAATTCACTGAATCTATTATAGAGCATGCATGCTGCAGTGTTGTCTCTTGGAGTAATAGAATAGCAAGAAATGGAAACACCAAAACATCAATTTTCACTAACTAACCTGATAAACAAATGATGATCGCCCGGATACCAGAGAGCCCTGCACTCCACTCTGCAGTTGTTCATTTAACAGTGTATATTTTATTTTATCTAAACGCTTTGAAGCTCTAAAGCACTCCAATCTACAGACAGGATGTACCGACTCATCAGTAGCACGATTAAGATTCAACTGTAATTTAGTCTGAAAATAACAACAACCAAAGTAAGAGATAAGAGAGGTAAAATATGTAGAAAAATGAACTGAGTAAGCATACAAAATTTTTATTGTGGATACCAGTGGAGCTCAAGATTTGTGATCCGTCCCACTTGAAAGTAGCCAGGTGATTTTAGTCCTAACGCATCAGGTGATAATGTCCTTATTCAGATCTGGATTTAGCACTCCTTCCTTTATTACCATCCAGTAGGTTACATAAGCAGATATTACCCACTGTTATTTTCTGATGCCTATAACCTTCCATCGTTTTCAATAAACAAAGACGATTGATGCATTTCGGCACATCAGTTATCTGAGCAAATGGTTTAATACTGACTGGGTTCTCTTTCAATGCTACTTCAAAAAACGGTTGCATTCACAGAACATTAGGAGTTAAGGAGGATAGACTTCCAAGTGGAGAAATTCAGTTACTCCAAACATATTACGAGTTTTTTCAATGAATTAAGAACAGACTACATTAAAGCTGAATGTAATATGGCAAAAGTCAATACAGTTTCTGTTACATTTCCTAAAGTCGACTTGATAGGAGCAAAGTTAAACTTTAAGCACCACTAACCGCCAATCGGCGAATGACCTTCGACGAACCAATCACACGAAAGAGGCACTTTTGGTTATGGAAAACTGCATAAAACTATTACATAGGGTATCTTTCTCTGATATGTGATAAAAACATCTCCCAGTTTAACATTGGAGTATCAATTGAAAGGTTACACCCCATTCTGTACATATATTCATCCAAATGACTATAAATGACATCCTTTTGAGATTCATTTATAGCCCTAATCCTGTTTTTTAACCTTCCTTTCTATAGAATTGGTGTGTGTTCCTGTAATACGATACACAAAATCATTAGAATGGTTCACTCTGTGATGAATGTATCCAAGGGAAGACAGGGAGTTATAACCTTTCCACTCATCGGTGTGTATTATAGATCCCTGTTTCACCAGTCGAGTGATAATAGGTACTAAGGTAGTTAACTTTCTGTCTGCTATTCCCTCGACGAATCCTTTCTGTAGAGAGGCATCATATCAACCAATCACCTAAACATTAATCGCTCGTTCTCAGCCACAGTTGTATTTTTTCCTCAATAAGACAGTTTTGTCCACGTGTACGACGACACCTTCTCCTCCTAATAACGAAATAATTCTTTCCATTTTCCATGAGGCGATGTCTCTGCAGTGCTGGTACCACTGAACTGTTGATACGAGGCTATTTTCAGTTTCAGCAGCTGCACCTCTAACAGGCTGTTTTAAAACTCAGTAATTACAAATATCTGGGTTAAGAACAGATGGGATCTGGCAAACAAATGTTCCTACGAAATATGAGAATCATCAGCTTACCTCCCCTGACACTAACCCATCTCAAACAAATTGCACAATGATGGACATATCCATCAATCGACCTCCTGAAGCTTTTTATACTCATGACACCCCTACATGAACAAATCCTTTCCTTCCTAAGCAACCCTACATCCAAGCAATACTGGAAAACCTTATCCTCACTAAACTGCAAGCGCAACTGCGTTAGAGCAGGCACTTGACTCGAATCAAGCGGAATAGAACCTTCAACTCACGTGGATGAGACTCATTGGACCATTCAAGGTTATCCGCTGATTGGTAGTTAGTAGTGCTTAAAGTTTAACTAGGTTTTGATAGGTCCAGATATGACGTAATTTTGAAGCTAAGTAATTTTCTTCTACAATTTGCTTCTACCTCAACAACAACCTTGACCACTCACCACAAAAACCACCCGAATGCGAAGAGGAAGATGAGTGGATTGTTTAGGGGGGCTTTAAATGTCCCGGCGGCAACATATGGATTGGTGCAAAACAATTTAGAATATATACATGTATTATCATCTTATCCAACAATTAGATCATTGATAAATCTACAGTTAATGGTCAATAAGATAACCCTCTTATAAAAAGTTGCAAAACAAAAAGAGTTATGGAAAGAAAAAGTAAGCCATATGTCATACGTAATTTCACAGTTCTTAACAGTTTTCTGATTGGTAATCTGATAAATGTTGGGAAATAAAGACTTTCTAACTGAGGTGCAGAAGATAATCGAAATCGTTTACAATGTGACACATGTACTAAAGCTTAATATATTTTGGCAAATATTGATAACATGAATATCCTGTTTTATTTAGCTTCTATTCGTTTTACTTAGTATGCCGACGACCATTATCCATGTTTGACCACTTATTTGTCTTCGTTGTTAAGTTAAAGTTAACTAGCAACCCTCGAAATTATCATTATTTATTTAAGGTGCTACACTTGTAGTCTTTTTAAATCACTACAACCGAAATTCAACTCCTTAATTAAAAAAAGCACAACTGAATGAGATAGCATACCTTGCCTGACTTAACATTCTTTTTGTGTACACACTCAGATGCAGCATTTGAGTCCCAATTAGACGACTGGACTGTAGAACATTTATTTTCAGTCTGATTTAACTTATTTAGCATTGCTTGGGCAGCGGAATCTTGGGCCTTCTTCGCTGATATCGACAGACTTTCAGTAGACCCCCAACCATCTAACACACATGTACAGGTATATCCACTCGGTTCACAACCAGTTAACTTTTTGATCTATTGGTAAACACGGGGAATGAAATTGTTGAATAAACCATACACAACAAAAACGTAATCGTTAACCTTTTAGTTAAATTACCAAATTTCGATAATCTTTATAAAATGTAACCACCAAACTCATCTTGGATTAAAGAGTGAAGGATCATCTATGCTTATGTGTTGAGTAACTGATGACTGTCATCTTACTGCTGTTGCTGTTTTTTTTTCAAACAACGACCGCGTCCTTAGAAATTCTTTATTCCCCAAGATTTGATACTTGACCGTGGAAGTTTCTTCATCAAGTTTGGTGACATTATCAGCGGTGACTACACTCTCCATAACTAAAGTAATTTAGAAACTTCATCCAATCCAACTTCTATTGTGTGATTATTGAGGTAACGAATGCATTGAGATGGCAGATTCTTTCCTAAATTACTTACTTATTTTATTAGGATTTATCAATGTTTGTTTAACTTGATTTTTATGCTCCAACATCAAGACTAACTAACAACTACTTCGCCCTAGGTGCCTGACATCATATTCACTAACTTGAAATTGATAAATCAAACTGTTTTGCTTAGTTGACGCTTTAATGAGATCATTCTACTTACAACATAGGTTCTCTATGAGTAAATTTGTGTGTGTGCGTCGGTGGCACAGTGGTTAGGACTCTTGCCGACCATGCACATGGTCCGGGGTTCGATCCCCTGCCGGCGCACACCCGATATCTATGGTCGGCCTGAATTTGGGCTACCGATATCCATGCTGAAAATTCCACACTTGTACTGAAAATACGGTTGGAATCAAGCTGTAAATCAAAATAAAATAAAATAAAAATAGAAAGTATTTTGATGATATCCAAATCTCAGCTTTTTAAGAATTCTACGAAAAGTTGTTGATACCTATTCTTTATGTGGAAACATTACAGAAGCTTTGAACTCTCTTAACTGAAATAGTTATCTCTCCCAGTGACACCGGATAACTGTAAATATTATCTTACTAAATTTTTATTTTATTTTATTTGTAATCCTAACTGTATTAGCAATATCAAGCTGTGCTGTAGTTGCACATTTTAGTCTCGGCTTCACAATTTATTATTATTTTCATTTTTAAAACAATTAGTTCCCTTTACGAATTTAGACAAAGCAATAAGAAGACGTAATTTGTCTGAATCGTGTAATGTTGTATTTGCGCAACACATTTCGAACAATCTGGTCGATCATACACGGACTTGTCATAGGAATACATATGAAGTTTAATGAAGAGTTAAGAAATGAGAAAATAGACATAGGTCAAGTTAAGAGGACATACTGAAGGTCAAATTAACAATGAAGACCACTAAACCAAATAACAGAGGTAATAATACATCTGCCCTGACTAGTATCGAAACAAAGTTTACCAAGGAAGGTTTAGTGTGATGACGAATTGTTTTTGAACGCATTAAGGTGATTTAAACTTCCACAAACTTTAGGATTCGCCCCAAAGACGTTCTATAGATGGGTTTAAAAGACGTGTAAACATCAATTTATGTCCTGTTTCTATAATATGTTTCTCAATAGAAGAGATAGGTCTCCTGTTCTCACTATTAATAGGTTCTGAAGATTCCATTTGTTTCTGGAGCCATTTAGGAATATGCTCTGAAGCCCTTACTTGCAGAGATCGATGAGTCCTCCCTTCCTTGGTAAATTTTGTTTTGATACCACTCAGGGCAGATGTACTATTTCCTGTTATTTGGTTTGGTGATCTTCATTGTTAATTTGACCTTCAGTATGTCCTCTTAACTTGACCTATGTCTATTTTCTCACCTCTTAACTCTTTATTAATTTCATATATATTCCCATGACAAGTCCGTGTGTGATCAGATTGTTCGAAATGTGTTGCGCAGATACAACATTACACGATTCAGACAAATTACGTCTTCTTATTGCTTTATTATTTTCATATTATCTAATTGCTATGTGGCAATACTTATATTCGCCTCTACCCCAACTAGTATGCACATTCTACCTATACACTTACAGTTGCCTAGATTATATAAACACTCAAATGAATTTATCCTTGTTGTTATAATTATTATTATGATCACCTCGATTGTTATGCATTAATTCACACTTTTGATCCTATATTTTACTAACCACATTAATTTAGATGTTCATGACTAATATTTCACTATGTAAACGTAGAGCCAGATGAGAATTTACCGAAAATACGTATCTACTTAAATCGTGTTCTACATCATATATGGTGAATAAACAGCATTTAGCATAAACCAGAGTGGGACTTAGACATTTTCCGTTAAGTAATGCTTGCTATACTGTTACTGAGAAGAAAAAAAAAATGGAAATTTCTCAAACTAAAATTAAAAAAACATTAACTGTAACTGAGTCATGCCCAAATTGAGAGAACAATTATACAATCTGTCACATATATATGTACATTACCTTAAAACGCGGATAAATAAAATGCAACCCGGAAAGAATACGTAATCTCCACGATGGTGACTCCGGATGGATGTATTGACAAATATTTATGTTGGAATCATCAACCACTCCTTTCTTCGTTTTCTGTCTCTTGATGAAGGACAACAAAGACCGCCGTAGAGCCTAAATTTTTCAACAAAAACAATAAGATTACCATAAAAATTATTTATCTTTAATATTAGAAAAGTATCAGTTAAAGTATTACTTGTGTGTGCCATTTAGATATCTACAACTATACTCAAAAAGAAATTTGATTACAGTAAAGGACCATTTTATTATATACACATATCTACAGCCACCTAAATGAGAGGAATTTTCATCTCCTGGAAGTTGCATCCAATTACGAAGGTATCAACAAAACATACACAGAAGACTATGTTTTTAATTAGATCTTTCTCAGGTGTTACTACCGCTGAATTAACAACATCGCAAAGCTAAGAAAAGATAAAAAAACTAAGTAAGCCACGTAGATCGGAATATGTAGTACTAATTAATCAGTAAGTCAATTGATGGCATAGAATAACTTCTGAGTAATCGCGAAATGACTAACTCGATGTCTGAATGGTCAAACAAGCTCGCCTCGAAAACCAAAGGCCCTGGGGTTCGATCCATGAAGGCGTCACGGGTACGTACTGCTTAAGATTCCCAAAATACAGCAAAACAACCGTCCATTACTTCACAGTTTTTTAATGGTTTTCTAACTGATATTAATCCTTGATCAATCTTGAGATCAGTCAAATCCCTGTAAACCAACACTACAATTATTATCGTAATAAATAACTTATTGGTGAAACAAAGCAATCCAGTCAATCGTAATGCCTTTTGAAGTAGATGAAAACCAACCGAAATCATAAAATTACCAACAAATAGTAATTTAACTTTACTGAGTCATAAAACTAACTTGATACCTTGTTTCAGAAGTATACCCATACACACCCAGTGGAAGTTGATGATGACTAACACTAAACACACTAATTACTAACACAATGAACTTCCTCAATTAGAAACGAGAGTTTGCAAAGTGTTCAGAAACGACCAAAACGGTTCGATTGGGAAAAAAGAAATATATATATTCTAATCCACATCTTAAATAGCATATTATCTACTTACATAAATATCCTGTAAATATTATGCATTGTCTAACCATGCTACTAGTGAGTAGTTGTTAATGCTTTAATGGCATCTTAATTCAAAATATTTTTACCTGAACACATTGACTAAATAGTGATTAAAATCTGGGACTGGGAACCCACACAGAAGAGTAGAGGAAACTAAGGGAAAAAACATATAGCTTCACTTGCCTTAATATGACACACACATTATTTATATATATATATACCTTCCTTGATTACACACATCTACCTTCAACTTTGTACCTAGATCTGTTTATTAAACAAGCCTGCTGCGACACAAACGGGGTGCTCGATTAATAAATGGTTGCATTCTTACTTTCCTGATAAGAGACAGTTTACTCTATATAATGGGAAGTCTTCCACTAGCTTAATTACTCGAGTCGGTAATCCTCAAGGTGCTCTTACTTTTACTTTTCTATTTGCTCTCTTTTTACACGACTAGCCTCACTCTGAAGTAGTCAATTTTGTTAAGTATCGTGATGATCTGACTGTTTCCATTGCCGGTTAACTGTTAATCAGATTTTTACGAAATGAACAACTTTTTATCAGAAACTAGTCAGTGGTCCTTGTCAAATAGTCTTAAGCTAAATCCCTCCAAATGTCAGGTTGTTAATTTCACTTTTAGATGCAAGTACAACTTACATGATCTAGTTCGTTCCAGTGATTACACTATTATAGATGGCACTGAAGTCGAAACTAAGTCGAATGTTAAATATCTAAGATTGCGTATTTTCCCTGGCTTTCCCATATCATGTTATTTGCTAGAAAGATATTTCTTAACGTTCTACGTACAGAAGTTAAGACAATCTGGTATTACTACATCCTTACTTTCTAAGTTTGTTAATTCTCGTATTCTATCTGTTCTTCTTTACTGCTGGCCCTTAATCTTTCCTGGGCTAATAAAGGAAGACTTTTTTACACTACGAAAGGCACTGAAAGCTGTCAATAGGGTGAATGAAGTGTCACTAAACCAGCTTGTTAATACTGTTGTAGATAGACACTTGAACTCATGTAAAAAAATAGTGAATATTGTCTTGTCGGACATTCTCTCTATACACAATTCTCTCCTTACATAAAATCAGGTAAGAAACAACTATAGAAGACCATATGATCCGATGACTAAGTATAGAAACTCCAACATAAATGTAGGCAGCGAAGCAGTTACGCTCCCCAAACTTGATCAGGACATTGAGTCCCTATTTAAGGAAGAAATAGTGAAACGAGTATCTGAGGTCGATAGCAACACTCCTCCTGAGGAAGCTTGGAACAATAGACAGCTAGCTGCAGACACAGTTGTAAAGGTTGTTAATGACCTAAAAGCAAAAGTTATTAGGAGACAGTAGATTTCTACCATCTCATCCGAACTGATTAACACAAGAAGACTGATTCCGGCGAGCTCTGCATATAAGGAGCAAAAGCCGTTCAAACGCAAACTAACAAGAAGTCTTCGCAACAACCGTGAACAGTGGTGGGCGACAAAAGTGAAAGAGATGAAAAAGGCATCGGCGATAGGTAACACCAGACGACTATTAAGGCTTATCAGGGAAACAGGTGGTAAAAGGCAAATGATAAGTGAAACAATCTCTGAGAAAAATGGCACCATAACTAGCTCCCAGGATAGACGACTGGAACGCTGGAAAGAACACTTTGAGGAGCAGTTTAACTGGCTTACAGCCACACTCAACTTGCCGAACATCCAACTTTTCCCTGAATGGGATATATACTGAGGTCCTCCGTCCTTAACTGCGGTTGCTAAGGCTGCCACTAGTCTGAAACGATGCACAGCAGCGGGACCTGACGGAATGACTCCAGAGGTTTTTAAGGACGGTGGAGACAGTTTACTGTCTGCGTTAACTAAGGTACTAGGCAGCCCTTGGGAATCTGAGGAAGTCCCGTTGGGCTTGTGTAAGTCATTGATTTTCCCGATATACAAGAAGGGAGACAAGTCTACCTGTGATAATCACAGGAGGATTAGCTTTACCAATATGTTTTCTAAAGTTCTAGGCTCAATAGTAATGCATAGACTAAGTGGTGCTCAGGAGGAACAAACACGAGAGAACCAGACAGACTTTCGACAGGAAAGAGAGTGTATTGATCATATCTTCACCCTTCGACAAACTCTGGAATATAGGCGTACTTACCAGCGTTCAAAAATCGTCATATTTCTTGATCTGAAAGCGGCATTCGATTCTGTAGACCGAGAAGTACTATGACGTTTAGTTGTGAAGGGAATACCGAGAGGTACTCTACTCGAGTTCTTAAGCCAGATGAGAGCCTACGGAGAGTCGTTATCTGAAGTGGTGATAACCACTGGTATCCGTCATGGATGTCCACTGTCCCCATTTCTGTTTCATTTCGTCATAAATTTACTAGTGGAATTAACCCTAACTGACTTCAGTGATTCAGGGGCTGACTCGTTACCAGGGAATAAAAGTCTCGTTGACTTAGAATATGGTCCTCCGTTCTAGTTGAAGACGCTGAGGAAATGTAAAGTCTTCTGAACACATGCAGCAGCGACCTTCAAATATTTGGCATGCGATTCGTTCCCGTCGAATGTGAGATGATGTTACAGGACTGCATTACATCGATTACTCCTAGCTTAAAAGTAGGGAGTGAAGTGGTGGAGTGTGTTTATTACTTCATTTATTTGGGGATTTGCATCAGCCATTGTCAGCGGGTTGATTGCTAACGAAATTTCAGCACGGATACAGAAGGCTCGTTTCGCATATGCCAACTTACGCCATCTCTGGAGTAGATGTGATATCCCGCTGCCGACTAAAGGGCGTGTGTACTGCTCAGCAGTTCGCTCCATCCTCCTTTATGGTTGTGAGACCTGGCCATTGAGAGTGGAAGGCATGAAAAGTCTAGTTTCCTTTGATCCTAGGTGTCTGCGTTCTATCTCCTGTGTTAAGCGGTATAATAAGGTGAGCGATGGAGAGGCTAGGCATCGGTCGAGTGCTAGGTAAGGAGGGGAAACCAATCGACGAGGTTGTGAAGTTACACAGATTGAGATGGTTAGGCCATTTGCTACGCATGCATCCCTAGCCATTGCCTTCTTCGACGGGCAACGTTACCTGACATAGGATCAAGTTGGAAAAGAGCTAGTGGTGGTGGTCAAACTAAAACATGGCACCAGTCAGTGTAATCGACAACGGCTAGTTTAAGCCACGTTGAGAGGCGTAGACTTCCTGGTTAGGGTCTTTCAGATGGTAAAACCAATGGCTGTAGATAATCGGTGATATGGCTTAAAATTATTCTTAATGGCATAGATGCATTCACTCTTTGTGATCTATAATATCCAATAAAAATCCACTGCTCCTCCATATAACTATTCTTTTTGCCTTAGACTTTTGTTTATTGATATCTCTTTTGAATCTCTCTTTACTCTCTTCTTTTTCTTTGTGTGTTGCATGGAGTGTAGCAACTCAAACTGCTGCATATCTGTGCAAAGTTTTACGTTAAAACCAACTAGTCAGTCAATACAAACTCTATAATACCTTGTTCGGCACACATTTTATGGGATGAGAAAAGTGTACGGCATGATACTACTTACTGCAAAACAATAAGGAACCAGTCTTTTCTATTCCTTCTTTCATTAACATATTGTTATTAATACTTCGACTTAAATTTTAAATTTATATTCATATTCTTATTAACCAATATTATCAAAGTAGATGCCATGTTAACTATTTCCCTCTGTACTAGGTAATGTAAAGAGAAACCTAAATGCAATATTGTGTTACATTTTGGAAATTCCACATTATATCGAAAATACTGTTTGGAATAAAGCCATTATATATATATATATATATATAATTTACTGAACTCACCGCTAGTGCTCCGATACATGCTTCTTGCTCAGCACCTGGTTTAGTGGTTGCATTTCCAACATACTGTCGACCAACAATACCTACCGTTGCAGTGTACATGATAGACTGATATAAGAGGAGATAAAAACAATGAAACACAGTGACAGGCTTTGAATATAAAAATATCTTAAAGTTGCAATTAACTGTGTAATTATGAAAAGCCAACATTAGTGTGATCAAATCTCCTCAGAAAGGGTTTACAGTTTTGCCAATTATGTTGTAGTGAAACGAACATTCGAAGGAGGGACGAGTAGCGAAGCAATCAATAAAAGATCCTTTGAACAGCAGTAAATAATTTTCCCCTTCGTGAAGCACAAACATACTGCCTTACTGTATAGATGATGATTCCCCTCATTTTTCCGCAACTAAGGAATTTTATTTTGGCTTAAAGCACTCATGAAATAATTATATTATGAACATATAATTTAAAAAACAATACCTAATATAATCGAGTTGTGAAATGACATTACTATAGATTCATACCAAGAAATCTTCAACACGATTGAGAAACAGTACATCCTGGTTCCCAAAAAACTGCTGAAAATTCAAATTTAAGACATATTCACATAGAATGACCGATTTGGTTGACAAAAGTTTGAGCAAAATGTTCTAGATGTCCATTCACACGGTCAAGACACTTCACTTTTTAGTGAAGTGCTAATTACAATGACGAAGATGACACGAGAGCATTCGCTAAGCAAAGCCTGAATACAAAGAACAACTTAAACTAAGCGACCTTCCTATTTTCCTGAGGTACGCTTAATCATTACGGCATTTCCAGAATATTCATATTAGTTATTGTAAGCAGTCGAAGGGAACTGAACCAAATAAAAATCAATTTTTACTATGTTGTTATTCGTTTCAGTGAAGAGCTGTGGCTTATTGGTCCAAGCGCTCGATATCTACCCTTTACGTCACTGGTTCGAATCCCACTCCACGCACTGAGGGTCTGGGCAGTCCTGGTGAGAATTATCAGCACTCGCACAATAGGTGTGGCTCATTACCAAGTGCATGAAATTGTAAATAACTGTTGAGTGATACTGACTTGACTGAACACCTTTCAATGAAATCACTAACCATTCACAAGGACTCAACTATTTTAAGAAATTACAAAATAATGAACTTGTGATATGAAGGAAAGTGATGATTTGAAGTGCTTTATATTTGGATATAACAAAGAATTAAGCACTGTGACTACAGACAGGCTAGAAAAAAGATACCGGTCAAGTAAAAGGATATAAACAACTCTTACCAGCGCGTTGTCAGCGGAACGCCCCGACTGAATAAATTTCACTTTAGAACCAAGTAAAGCAAGCAGCTGTTTAAGCTGTAATTTGGGTGGATCAGGAGTCGAAACAGACTCAATGAGAATAATAAAAGGTTTTACCTAAACACAAAACATAAGCTGGTATAAAATACATTCATAGAAAAAAAAATACGTTAACAGTCAGTATGAGCTGTTGCTAAATAATACATAATATTTTAGTTCATTACAGTGCAACTACCCGAAAATTCTACATATCAAGTAGTGAAGAAGTATGATATGTAGGCTGTTTATTCAAAAGTGAACTTCGTGGAGCAGTCTGTCTGTCTGTCTGTCTGTTTTCGACATAGAACTTTGCACATATGTGCGGCAGTTCAAGTCGCCACAATCCATGTAGCACGCAAAGCAAGAGAAGGAAGTAGAAGAAATGCATAATATAGACAGTAAACAGAGGTGTGAGACAAAGGAATAGTAATAACGGAGAACAAAACAGTTTAATTGGAAATTATAAGTCACAAGGAGTGGATACATCTGCGCCACTGAGAACGATTTTGAGCCATGTCACCGATTGTTTCCAACCATTGGTTTTTACCATCCCGAGGGCCCCAACCAGGAAGTCTACATCTTCCTACGTGGCTTAGATTAACTGTTGTGGATTTCATTGATTGGTGCCATGTTTTCGTTTGACCGCCGCTAGCTCTTTTCCAGCCTGACCCTATATCAGCTAACATTGCCCGTCGAGGAAGGCGATGACTAGGCATACGTAGCACATGTCCTAACCATCTCAGTCGAAGTAATTTCACAGTCTCGTCGATTGATTTCCCCGCCTTACCTAGCACTCGACGCCTAACCTCAATATTGCTCACCTTATTATACCACTTCACGCGGGAGATAGAACGCAGACACCTATGATCGAAGACAGCTAATCTTTTCATGTCTTCCAATCTCAATGGCCAAGTCTCACAGCCATAAAGGAGGACGGAGCGGACTGTTGAGCAGTACACACGCCCTTTGGTCGATAGTCGGATATCGCGTCTACGCCAGAGACGGCGAAAACTGGCGAAGGCGAACCTAGCCCTCTGTATTCGTGCTGAAATTTCGTCGGAGATCAACCCGTTGGGGCTGATGGTACTTCCCAAGTAAGTGAAGCGGTCAACGTGTTCTACCACTTCACTTCCTATTTCTAATCTAGGGGTCGATGAAGTCCAATCCTGCAGCATCATCTTACATTTTATAGGGGCGAATCGCATGCCAAACATACGAAGATTGTTGCTCAGGGTGTTCAGTAGACTCTGCATTTTGTCAGAGTCTTCGCCTAGAAGGACTATATCGTCCGCATATTCTAAGTCAACGAGATTCTTCCCTGGTAGCAAGTCAATCCCTGAGTCGCTGAAGTGGGTTAGGGTTAAGTCCATTAGTACATCTATGATGAAATTGAATAGGAATGGGGATAATGGGCATCCTTGACGGACGCCACTAGTCGTCACCACTTCAGATGACAACTCGCCATAAGCCCTCACCTGGCTGCATGAGTACGAGTAGAGTGCCTTAATCAGTGCAATGTATTTTCTTGGCATTCCCTTTACAGCCAAGCATCGCCAGAGAACCTCTCGGTCGACAGAATCGAATGCCGCCTTTAGGTCAAGAAATATAATGATTGTCGGACGCCGGTAGGAATGCCTATGTTCTAGAATCTGTCGAAGGGTGAAGATGTGATCAATACACCCTCTACCTGGCCTAAAACCTGCCTGGTTTTCTCGTGTTTGTGTCTCCCGAGCACCACTTAATCTACGCAGTATTATTGAGCCTAGGATTTTAGATACTATATTAGTCAAGCTAATCCCTCTGTGATTATCACAAGACGACTTGTCCCCCTTCTTGTATATCGGGATGATCAGTGACTTACACCAACCTGATGGGACTTCCTCTGATTCCCAGACGCTGCCTAGAACCTCCGTTAACGCAGACAGTAAACTGTCGCCTCCGTACTTAAATACCTCTGGAGTCAATAAATCAGGTCCCGCTGCTTTGCCTAGCTTCAGATTGGTGACAGCTTTAGTAACCTCGGTTAAGGACGGAGGACCTGTGTCTATCTCCCATTCAGGGAGGTGTTGGATGTCCGGTAGGTTAAGTGTGGCTGTGGGCCAATTAAACTGCTCCTCATAGTGTTCTTTCCAGCGCTCCAGACGTCTATCCTGGGAGCTAATTATGGTGCCATTTTTCTCGGAGATTGTTTCGCTTATCATTTGTTTTTTACCACCTGTTTCCCTGATAAGCCTGAATAGTTGTCTGGTGTTGCCTATCGCCGATGCTTTTTCCATCTCTTTCGCCTTTGTCAACCACCACTGTTCACGGTCCTTGCGGAGACTTTTCGTAAGTTTCCTCTTGTGCAGCTTTCGCTCCTCATTGAATTCGGAGCTCGCCGGAATAAGTCTTCTAGCATCTATCAGTTCGGATGAGGCAGTCGAAATCCAATGGTTTTTACTCACCTTTGGATTTACCTTATTCACAGCTTTTACAGCTGTATCTATGGCTGACTGAATATTCTTCCAGGCTTCTTCAGGGTGAGCGCAGCTGTCAAACTCAGATATGTGTTTAGCTAGTTCTTCCTCAAATAGGGACTTAGTTCCCTGGTCGAGCTGGGGACGTGATGGGTTTACCGCCAGCTGTTTCCTACGTCCGTTCAGACGTAAGCACACACGAGCGCGGACCAGTGCGTGATCGGTATCTACACACGTGTTCCATAAGGAGCGACAATCCCCTACCGACCCACGCCAACGATAGCTTATTGCTATGTGGTCTATTTGTGTCCAGCGTTGATTTGATGATGGTGGTCGCCAGGTCAAACAGTGTCTCTCCTTGTGTTTGAAGTTAGTGCTTACAAGATACAAATGATTATCTGAACAGAACTGTAGGAGACGGTCACCGTTGTCGGTTCGCTGGCACGGAATTCCGTATGTGCCACCAACATTCTTCTCAGATTGACACAATTTCCCTACTTGAGCATTAAAGTCACCAGCTAAAACGACTATATCTGAGCGTCTAGCCTTTCGCAGCAAACTAGACAGCTTTTGGTAGAACTCATCCTTCGTTTCATCCGAACTGCAGTCAGTGGGGGCGTAGGCGGAGATTACGAAAAGGCATCGGCGAGTAGTGCAACCCTTTCTCCTTTTCACTGATCCGTTCAGGCGGACAGCGCACATTCGGCTATCTACCGGGATCCAGTCAAGTAATGTCTTTTCTGCTCTAGTACTTAAAGCTATCCCAACACCAGCTAATCCTCGTGAGCTAGCCGTCGCATCTCCTGACACCCTCAAGGTGAATTTTGCAGATTCATCCTGTTGGCCAGGTGGGGTTAGGTGAATAACCACACTTGGGTCTTGTATGCGTGTTTCTGAAACACAACATACATCAATGGCTCGGGATGCCAGAGTCTTGGCTAGTGATGCTTGTTGTCCTATTTGGCAAAGTGTCCTAACATTAAATGCTCCTATATAAAATTGGTGGCGTGGTTTTAGGAGACAATCGGTGGTGGCTTTTTGGCTTCCATCGTTATCAGTGCACACAGAGTGAAGGGGAAGTGAAGAGCCAACAAGTAGAGGAGTTGCATTGGTAGAAGGAAGGCAAGATAATAGAGATGAAGATGAAGACAAAGATGAGCGAGGATTAGAGGGGTTTCGCGTGCACTTCGGATTGTGAGGGCGATTGTTACTTCCCGGCAGCCCACACCGTGGAAGTTGGTTGCGTGACCGCAGAGCCCAGGGGACAACTGCTTGAGGCCGGTCACACACGGCCTGTTTTTGTTTGTTCTTTTTTATTTGGTGTGTCTCAGTAGCGTATTTATCACTTCTGCCCTGTGACACGGCAGCAGAAAGCGCGGTCGTTGTTAATCCGGGCCCCGACCGATCCGGCATGATATTTTGTGATTTATTTGAAATCATAGGATTGGATTGGGTAACTGCTTTTAGTCTAACTGCTATCCAAACAACCTTTCTGGCATGGTAGGACCTGCAGGAACATAAGTTCCAGCCAGTATAGCTTGTTGGGTCATTGCAGTGTTCAAGCCCGACCACCACGTCAAGGTAGCAGCTTTCGGTCGTGGAGCAGTGAGAAACATGAGCTGCTTCATACAGTAAGAAATAATTTAAGAAAATTATTAGGACGGACAAGCTTCTTTTTTAGCTGTGAAGTCATGATTTATGCATGAGGTGACATGATAACCTGATTGGATAGATTTTTATTCGTTTATTTATGGCTTAAACTCCTCACATACCATGTGTTTTGTGTAATAAAATTTGTCGATGTTGTTGTTGCCGGTCGTCGTTATCTTTCCCTGTCTTTTATATCTATCTCAATATCCGACATATTTTCAGATGATCAGCTGGTCACAGTGTTGTGTCTGGAGGTGCATTCTAGTCAAATTAGGCAAAGTCGAGTACCCAGTAACACTCCGTCATAGCGAATATAGAGAAAAAATAGTTTTGGAATAACCAGAGAAATATAAGTATTCTCATATAGTATATTCAAAATAGTGCTCGACACTTCGTATCCCTTTTAAAAGTAGAAAAAGCACGAAAGCTTCAGTATCACTGTCATTTACTTAGATACTGAGCAAAACTTCAAAACATCTCGAGATATTCGGAACGACCTCTCTCATCCCACCTAAGGAGTCAAAATGCAAAAACAGTTACTACCACAACAGAACTAATCTCTCTTAATGGACTGAGCACCACCACCTTACAGTGGGTGGTTAACACTGAACGATGTTTAGGCTATGGGACAACGCTTTCTAGCTACCAAAGCTGATACACTAAAAGGGTATAACTCGGTGGAAGACGATTGTCATATAATCCCAATTCATGAATCGCATATCCAGTGATTCATTTCACTATGCTTTTGTTGTTATTCCCCAAAAAGGACGTCTTATTTTACTTCTGTGATCTTTAAATTAGTTATTTCCTTTATAATTATCAGCTGTTCGACATTGTTCCGAATTTGTTCATCTGTACAGTTTTTAGTTGCTAAATAGCTGCTTCCAGAAAGCCGACCTATAAGACGTTATGAACACAACTATACTGATTGAACGTGTTTCATTGAAGCTTGCCACCTTCAATGTTCACAATTCGATACAAAATTGGACAACAGGGACTTGTGAGTAAAACACTGGAAAACCTCGCTGGTAATGAATGCTTTATCTATATTATACACAGCACTTTATACCTATGCATACCAGACTGGAAGAAATTACATTAGATTCCGTGTTCCCGAAAATAAGGGATGAAATCTATATCAAGTCTGTGAGAAAACATCTTTACCTATAATCTAACTACGCCAACTAGTGTCCTTTATTATGCGAAGCTATAGCTTATTTGTTCAATTACTTAACTGTAGATCTAAAAGTCGCAAGTTAAAACCCCTTTTTCTATTAAGGTCTTACCAGTCAAAGGGTTTTACTTCACAACATACAGAGAGTGTAATTTACAATACAGTATACGAATTTGTACTCAATCTTGAAGTTTCTAGAGGACCAAGTCAAAAACGTTATGAACGAAAACAAGCCTAACGTTTCCCAATTTAACGCCTTTATATTTAGACTATGAAAAGAAAAAAATCAGTTTTGTCGGTTGAGGTAAATGGTGCTAGAATAAATACCAGTCAGACTTATGAGCAACATTCCGTACATCTTTAAGAATTTGAGTAAGAAGAAATGTTTTTTAGAAAAAACTCACGCATTTTGGTTTGACACAAGGTTTTTCAGTCTCCGGTAACTCTAACCTCAGTCTGGACTCCTCGAACAATTTGCATGATAGAAGAGCATTTTCAGCAGCCCGATGTTTCGCTTCTAAAATACGGTTTCCAATGCCAAAGTACACTTCAGAGTCAGGCAAACTGTGATGATGAACGATAAGAGTAACGCGAAACACTTTGTTGTGATAGGCACCGTTTTCTTCACAAGCCCAAGTTAAGTCTATTCCAAAAAAGTTGCACCATTTGTTGAGAGTGAACAGTGGTGTTTCAGAACCAAATGGCATCACTCCTCTTGACTAGAGTTATATAAAAACATGATTTATCGGGCCATTTTGCATAAATATTGCCAAATGAAAAGCGTGTTTGATATTTATATTCATGACCATTGAACAGTACTGAATGGGATTGGTCGGATGAATTCTACTGAGAGAATGTAACTTATGAAAACAAAAAAAAAAACGGAAGCAAGTCAGACTCACCGTAGTAAAAGCATCAGAAATGTAAAATATATAGATAGTGAACTATGAAAATGTGTCCTTCCCAAGTACTGATTCGGATAGCTATTTTTATTTTTATTGACGGGATATGCAAAAACGTTAACATTTAATTTCAAATAGCGAATTGATATAAGTGGTGAAAAATGAAAGGAACAAATTACATTCTTAGATTGTGTGACACCCATGTTACTAGATATTCTTGTTATAAAAAGACTTCCGTGCCAGACAGCGGATATCATAGGTCTAAGTAACCTATTATACCTACAAACACGCTAGAAGACAATGCAGATGGATATCACATGCAACTATGAATACACGAGTACTCATAGTTGCTGAGTAAAGAGGATCCCATTCACGCCATTAATTGGATGGAGTTTAAGATAACATCATACCTTCGTATATCAAACACTTCCCCGGATAGAAATTTGGTAGCGAATCAATCCCAAAACTGAGGACAAATTTCCCAGATATGTCCAAATCCCCTGACAGCTTAAATAATTCTACAGTATATCCGAACTATGCACCTACAATACTATTTCATGGTCAACAGATACTTTAAAATATTCATTCTGTGTGCCTAAACAGAACCTAGTATGTACTGAAGTCAGGCTGTTAGTGCATAAAAATAGCATCATACGCCTAATACTGATTGTACTAAAAAAATTTTAGCCAGTATTGAATTAGAGCAGAGAAAGTTGCACTACTTAAGTAGTACTGTAGTTCGTTTCTGGCATGGCTGGTTATTTGGAATTGTCAGAATTCTGACAATTCCAAATCACCATATAGCATATTTGCGCAAATCACATCATTTAGAATTTATACACTATGAAGAATAAGCGAAAGTTCAGATTTTCCGAGCATAATTTCAGCATTATAATGCTGAAATTATATTGTAAGCCTAAGAGAACTTACTTTTAATTTTAATAACGAATTCTGAATCAGCTGATTGTTGCTCTTATCATACAAATTCAGTTCATTAACATAGAATGTGTCCATAAATACTAAGTGTAAATTGCCACTTAGGCATATATTTATCTAAATACAGCTGACACCCTAATGCATTTTTGTAACGCACTACTCGATTTTTGTTCCAATATCCGGTGACTATCACAGCCAAAATCAAAGTGACCTTGCACCTCAGATTCACATTTTCATATTTCAGATTCAGATTTACTGGTTGAGGATAGAAGGCTTGGAGCCTATGTTAATCCTCTTTTAGTAAATTTCTGTGGTTGTTCAAACCCTTCTTGAATGAATCAGTTGAGGTTGCAGACACCACTTCTTCTGGGGACGGCTCCAAGTGTTTGTGACTTGGTGTGAGAACCAGTACTTAACACCAATGTAATAGAACAACACAAACAATTATACAGGTCAAGCACGCAGGGTAGAGCGGAGAAGCAGAACACGACTTGAGGAAAAGCACTTTATAATTGACACTGAATTACACCAACAGAAGTCCAAAAAATATATACATGTAGATACAAAGAGCTAGGCTTTTACAGTTCAGCGTCCACCGGCTTTTTTGAATTGACGCTTCCTTTCAGACTTTTGAACCACTACACCAATATTATTTCTTTTTGGCTTTTGAACTCCCCCGCTATATCCTCTAAGGTGTTCCCACCTGGTCGGAAGGAAAGGAGAGAACAGGTTAGGTCCCTATTCTTATTTAAAATTTTAACCATTGTGATTAAATCTCCTCTCTGCTTACGGTATGACAGAGAGAAGAGATTTAAACTGTCTAGTCTTCCCTCTTATGATAAGTTAGTCATTCCGAGTATCATACGCGTTGAACCCTTTCTAGAATGTGTGAGTCACCTTTTAAACAAGGACTGGATACAATTTTCCAGTTTTGACCTCACTAGAGATGTATATAATGTGGTGAACATATCTCTGGTGATTCTAGTAAAGGCTCTGCGAATTTTCCATAAAGATCTGAAACTATGTGCAGCCCTCGCGCAATAACGTCCTTTAGTTTTAGATGGCGACTAACCATGACACCTAAATCCAAGTTAGTCTGAACTGATGAGTGTGTTATTCCCTCCAGTTCATGGGAGCTGATGCTTGCTTGTCCGATGAACATGGTTGCATATTTTGCTACATTGATAGGGAGCATCCATTCTCTGGACCATTCCGTAAATTTGTTGAGGTCCTTTTGTAGCGTGAGTGTATTAATGTTGCTTTACAGCTCTCCAAATTTTTAAGTTACCTGCGTATAGGACCATAGGGGAATTAGGAAGCACAACTAACTCACTGATATACAAAATAAATAGGAGAGGCTAGAGTACAGTCCCTTGTGGCACACACACTGCTGTCCAGGAGGAGAGTTTCGAGTTGATCCTGACCCTCTGCTTACTATCCATGGGGAATCCCCAAGCCATTTTATTAACCTGCCTTTGATACTCAAGACTTCCCAAATTCAGGAGTAGTCTTTTGTAAGGAACTTTATCGAACGCTCTGCTGAAGTCTATGAAGGTGACATCAACGGGTCTTCTGTTGTCCCTTGACTTGACTAGGCTTTCTCTTGCAGTGAGGAGATTTGAGAGGCATGAGAGGTTTCCCCGGAAGCCATGCTGTGCTCTGGATGACATTTCGTGTTTTTCCAGATATACCACGATACTTTTCTTGACCATTCTTTCCAGTGTCTTGTTTAAAGTGCTGGTGAGACTAATAGGCCTATGATCTGAAGGGCTTCGTCTTGATCCTCCTTTGTGGATGGTGGCTTTAAGGAATCTTTCCAGCCACGTGGCAACATTCCATTTAGGAGAAAGCTTGAATATCGTGGACAGTTGGCTGACTGTGTGAGCTGATGGCTCCTTGAGAAGCCTTGGATGAAGATCATGAGGCCCCATTGATTTCCCTTCATCTAGTTTCATTAGGCAGTTGAGCACGATGTTTTGTCGACGTCAGCGGAATCTATCCCGTGTTCCTCTGATGCAGCCAGAGCTGAGCCTGTGGGGAGTAATGACTCCTGTGTTTAGACTTGGGAGAAGTAGTCTGCCGGTGCTTTTGCTTTTTCTTGATCTCCGATTGCTTCATAGTCAATAGTCAAATTTGGAACACCATTGGATGTTTCATTCTTGGAGTTCATGTGCGAGAAAATTTTCTTAGATTGTGCCTTTGCATTTTGAGCCAGATTTGCCTTGAACTTCATCCCTGATTGGCGGGTTTCTGCAATAACTTTGTTCCTAGCAGTGTTGTATAGTTTCCTGGTCTCAAGTGTAGCAAACAGGTTTCAACATTTGTGTCTGCGTCTGAGTAACTTGCGAATCTCTCGGTTTATCCAAGTGGGGCAATGTTTCCAGTCCTTTGGGACAGACCAAGGGATGAAAGGTTAATTTACTTGGGCGTAAAGTTGTTTAAATCGGTTCCATGAGGCTTCTACTTGGGATTCTGGGTTGATGTACCAGTTCACTGAGTTGGCTGTTGAAGACGATCACGTTTATATCAGCTTTCTAGAAGTTTGGTCGAGTTTGAGTTTTGGCCCGTTATGCTGTTGCTGTGAACTTGAAAGTGATTACGCTGTGCTCACTTCTTATAAACGGGGAAGATGTTGCAGGAGATTGACATCCTCACCATGAAAGAACATTAGATCCAGAGTTGCAGATTAGTGCTGTGAGTCGTAGCGCGTGAGCTTAATGACATGTTGGACTAGGGCTAGCGAAATTCTAGATTTCAGCATTTTATGATCAAAGGAGTTCCCTGAAGATGGCGTTGTAAGGCTTGTCCAGTCAACTGTTGGAGCGCCGATGTCACCGAGTACAAGACTTCGACGTTTCGATGTCCATAGCCCTAGCTTCTTTATTGTGAAGTCATCTGCACTGCAGTGAGAACTGCGGTATATGGCAGTGAGGTCAATATCTTCGCCTATGCATCTACGTCTGAAGCGTAGAAGTTCGAACAATTCACTTTCGTGAGCGAGTACTTCCATGCTACGCACGATTAATCATTTCTTGAGGTAGATGACTACGCTACCTCCCTTGCGGCTTAGTCGACCCACTCTGTGCACTTCAAAGTTTGGCAGGTTAACTTCGATATCGATGATATCGAGTGTGAGCCATGTCTCTGTGATGATAATTACATCCGGATTTCCGGAGTCTGTCATATTACACAGCTCAGTCCGTTTTTTCAGCTGGCTGCGGGCATTTGCTCAGCGAACTGTCAATTCTGTTTGGTGCTTCCGTGGATTACCCACAGACGTTTTGTGATCATCAAACTTCGAATTGTGACACTTCGAAAACGTTTAATCTGTAGGGTTTTTCGCCGTTTCGTCGTCGTTCGCCTAATTCTAGAGCCATGGACTGTCTTTTGACGCGGTCTGTTCGGCACAAGTCGGTAAGGATGTATATGCCTGATCCTTTATGAGTTTGAGAGTTGCTTAGAATGGCATCCGTCTCTACTTTGGAGTTTAGTATGACTTTGGGGAGGCGTTACAGGCTTATTTACTGCAGAGTCAGGCTTTCGGCCGATTCTATATAAGCTGTGTATTGTTATATCTAACACTGGTTTAGGCAGTAGCCTATCCAAAACGGACTTGACCAAGTTAAGGTCATGCTAGAGCCTGACCTTGGGATCGGAGGCCGGTAATTCTTCCACTTTGTGGAGAATGAGAGATTAGGTTTGCTTTCCGTTGCTTTCTTGCTCTGCGGCGTAAATGTCTTTCCGTCCTTGGCGGACGTGTGACCAATATGTTCTCCTTATTTTGCTTTTTGCGAGAGACAACATTACGCCATTCATTGGCGTCTTCCTTGCTAATCCTAGTCTATTTTATCTGCCTGCAATCCACCGGT